TGTATAAATAACAGTAAATAAGTTGTTATGGCTGGAAACTTGGCAAACTGTATGCATTAAAAGCATGTGTTTTGTCTGCCAGTGTATTTATGTAAATTAATGTGCTTATACTAACTTAGTTGAGCCACTAGTTTAGGCAGATAGCCTAAAGTAATCATTTCTTCTCTCAAACTTGGATCAAATGACAAATTCAGTAGCAAGTGAATGGCAACATTCATAAGGACCTGTAGGTTTAAAAAATAATCTTTAGGCCTACAATCTCAAGTTGGTAGCGTGGCCGAGCGGTCTAAGGCGCTGGTTTAAGGCACCAGTCATTTCGATGGCGTGGGTTCGAATCCCACCGCTGCCAGTTTTTTTTTTCCTTTTGCTCACCTCATTCTTGCTTGGAATTAGCTGCAGCAAACGTTTTAGAATCTTTTCTTTTGCCTACAAGACAAGGAATAAGTAGCATTCCATCAATATTTACCATTTCGTCTTTATTTTCTCCATAAATGCTTAGCTTTTTAAGAAAAGAAACAATCAAAATTATCAGCTCTTCGTTAGAACGTGATAAAAGCCTAGTTAGGTAAGACACAATCCCTTTATTTTTCATCTTCTGTTCAATCGCCGGCAATTCAGCCAAATTGTACAATAAATACAAAGAAACTAAAACAAATAGTAAAAATAATAACAATCATAAAAGGTCATTTGCTACCTCTTAAAAGGATATCTTGTCTTTTCTCAATTGTTTGTAGCCTCTTCTTTGCTTTTTCATATTCCAATTTCCCACTGCTAGTAGTACGAGCTACAGTAAAATAAATAAAATAAAAAAGAACATTTTATTTAATAATTATAGTACACGCATAGTCTAAATAAAAGTATAAATTAAAGGTAATATGAACGAACATGTGTTTAGAGCTTACTGTGTTTTATGCAGCAATGAATGATGCTTAAGAAATGCTACATGTACATGTACATGTATGTTTCAACAGATATTTTAGAATTAATACTATACCTCCTTTCCTTTTATTCTCAGCATCTTCCACTAGTGTCTCGTGTCTATTCACCTCATGTTCTACTACAGCCATACACAATGAACCAACCTTTAACAATAATAATCAAAAATTAAAATAAAATAACAATATTAGTATTATTAAAAATAAAAAATAAAATAGCAATATTAATAATTAAAAATTAAAATATAATTATACTTATTTTTTGATATACTTTGTGGTGTATGAGGACCCCATGAAAGTCAGAGAAAGTCGAAAAGCAAAAGAAAATGTAAATTATGTTAGAAGAGAGTTCAATGCTTTTACGCCAGTCGTCTCTCAGTACTCTAGTCAAAGCCAAGAACAATGACTCTAAAAGAAGATAAAGAATTAGAGACTGAATAATAGTACAGCAGCAAACAAAACCTAATTATCAATAGCTACTGATTTATTCTATGGAATATAACTACAAGTATGCATGTACATGTACATATAAGACCAAGCACAATATTACATGATACACATACACATGTACATGTACATGTAGTTTACACAAGCCCCCACAGTGAGGACGACCCACGATGATATTGTCAAGTTAAGCCAGTATATAAACTGATGTACTAATTCTCATAGTTGTTAAACCACTGTCTTCAGTCTCGTCGACATTTGCCTAATAATTTTTGGAAAGGACTATTACAGTCCTGTATCTTGATCCTAAATTTTATTGAGTGCTGACATGTATAACTAATAGTTGTAATTTTCATACATAGGGTAACCCATCATGTACTCTTGGTAACATGTACATGTAGTATCCTGTATAAATTACCATTGGATCCTAGCTCCAGTAGATTGTCAGGGTTTCTAGCTAATTGTAATATCATTCCAGTCCCTTGAACCTTCTCTGGTATATCTTCATACAATAATTCCAAGTAATCGGATAAATCAACCAAAGAAGCAACTTCTGTAATCTAAACACAGTAAAATTAATACAAATGAACCTGTATTGATAACAGAAAATAGCACAATATCACATATACATGTACATGTGAATGTATTATGTATATACACAATATTGCTATTGCTTAATTACTTCTCTCTGACATGCGTCCAATTCCTGACACATTCCTCTTGAAGACTGTGATAAAACATCTTTCTCTTCTAATAATAACAATTAGAATAACATTGTAGCATTGAGGAGGAGGTGAGCATGAGACATAGCTCTAAAAATTGGCTCCTATTGTACAATTGTATGTTGATCTCAATAGCTGATTGAAACTGTAATTTTTTAAGTCTTCCAAATACCCTGTACTACAGCCCATGGTTTTTTCCAAAAAATGGCTCCAAAAACAACCTCAATTTTTATTACATTTTCTGATACATATTGATGTCCTTATGCTATGTAGAAAGTTTGAGCCAATTCTGACTTAAATTTTTCAAGTTATGAACATTTTAAGAAATACAATATCCAATCATTCATGGCTCATGCTTGCCCCTAGTAATAATAATAATTATTATTAATAATAATAATACCTTGAAATCCAGGCTTGTTCAGTTTCCTGTTTAGCATGTACATAAGGAGGTTGCTCTATCTCTGGTAGTCTCTTTGATGAAATGAGTGGAGTCT